AAAAAAAAAAAAAAAAAATCAACAAGTTAGAGCGCGCGCACGAAACAAGACAACATCAACTGTAAGCTAATTAGTGAAAGAGGAAAACCCATTAGAGAGTTTTAAACGTACATCGATGTTCGCATTGAGAACATGTGAGAACAGAACAGCCTATTTCCTGCCCGAATTCCCCTTCAAACGTGCTCAAACCACAAATTCGACAACAACAGGACGGGCAGAACCAATCTCCATCCGGAACGTCCTGCAAAGATTAAACAAAACAAACACCCATCATAAGTAATGAGAAAATAAAAACAAAAGGGGCAAGAAGATTATTTCACAAGTCAACACCTGTAGACCAATGCACTCGGTATGAAAAGAGGAAGGACACCGATCGCACAATACTAATTCGCCTCCATCGTGGCAAATGGAGCAAAAATCGTCGTTTCTCACTTCGCCACTTGTCTCGACGCTATTCGTTCTCACTCTTCCCGATCTCAAACCCGAGCCACTAAGTTCTTGCTGGCACTCCATCAAGGACCTCCCATCCTCCAAAAATATATTCGCCGATGGCCTGTGATTTGTACTTCCAGCATGCGCCTCGAATTTAGTAAGGGTGAAAATTTTCCCACAACAGCTGCATTCGATCCCCACATGACTGATTTGCCCCACTGCCATAGCCAGACCATTCTTGGCACGATACTCGACTCTAGCTCGAGGCAAAACCACTCCACTATCAATCAACCAAGATAACACAGTGCGAGGATTTTGATTACAGGAAGAAGAAGGGACTAAATCCTGAACTCTCTTACTCGTCACACACGATTTCCTTTTCCTTCCTCTCTTCTTCACAACACCACTTTCCAAGGGCTCGTTCGGCATACTCGGGAGTTCACGTTCACCCATTTTGCATATTACATCGTCACTTTCCAAGGGCTCGTCCAGCATACTCGGGAGTTCACGTTCACCCATTTTGCCTATTACATCGTCTAAAGTCACGGCATTAGCCCCAACGCACCATTTACATGCTGTGAGGAGAGAACTAAAGACTCGACCGTTTGGCGAGCTGTACCGGAGTTCCCTCTTCGTACCCCCTCCTTTCAGCGTGTAATAAAAAGACCACCCGAGAGCTGACAAGTGCTGCTTAGCTTTCATGGCTCCCGGCTTCCACCCCTTTTCTCTACTGTTCGAGCAGTAGTCAGTGACTGCCTCAGGGCAATAATCGGGATCAATCGTGACCTCGTCGCCCGGTTTGAAAAAATCGGGCGATTTACTACCAGACCCTTCCGAGAAGGGAGAGGAAATCGGGGTTTTGGACGAGCGGCTGTCGACTAAGGAGGCGCAGACCTGCGGGAGGGAATAGAAGTATTTTCCGGCGGGGGAGGAGTAGCGGAGCTTGATCAGCTCACCGGCGAGGACGAAGTCGATTTTCCATCCGGAGTACAGGAGGTGCTTGCGGACGTTCATTAGGATCTCGTTGGAGGATTTCTTGCTGCCCGACCCGAGCGCGTCGAGGTACTCACGGACGGCGCCGGGGCAGTACTCGGCGCCGCCGGGGATCAGGTGCGGCCCGGCCGGCTGCCACTCGAGCCGCTGACGACGCCCCGTCTTCTGTTTCGGGACCCCGCGAGCCATTTGGCGGGAAAATCAACTATCGGAACTATGAACAAAAAAAAAAGAGGGAAAGGGATTGCCGCGAAAAAAAGGCAAAATCGGGACCGGCGGACACGGAGGCCTTGGTCGGAT